CCAGGTCCTGCTGCTCAGTATTTCTAGGAGCAGTGGCCTGAGACAGATACCTGAGAAGCAAAACCTGAGATGCTGAGGGTCCTGGCTTTGCCCCTATCTGCCGGCAGACCTTAGGCATTAGACTTCCTCTGTGGGATTTGATTCCCTACCAAGGAAGGTGCCCTAACGGAGACAGGCAATCATCTCTAATATTTGGACTTGCCTGACCTCCCCTACCTTTCGCTATCCTTCCCTTAGCTTGTGTTCATCGCAACTCAGACATCTGCAGAAAGACACATTTGAGAATCAAATTTAAGCTTCTTTGGAAATCTGGGTGTAAAATTTTAAAAATTTCAAAGCCCAGTATACTCAAAGAAGCAGGAAATTGACTTCCCTGAGCTCTTTTGAGAGCCCTGAGCATGCGTGGGCAGAACTAGTTGCTCACCCAGACACCCCAGGGAGAAGCTGGCCAGGAGCACTGGGAGGCACTGGATATCAGGGATGTGAGAACAAATGAGAGCTGCTGAGGTTCCTGCCCTGCCCCTCTACCCCATCACCACAGGCACCTGCCATCTGACATCCTCAGGGACTGAGGAAGGAAAGATGGGGTGATGTCCTCAAAGAGGAAATCCTTGGTGCTAATTGGCACTCAGAGACATTTAGGCTAATTAACCTGTTCATTTATCTCTCTAGAGTAAATTAGAGGGTTTAGCTAGGGATGTCGGAAGAGAGCTGTTTGCTGGTGGCCACCTCCTTAGGGGCTATTGGAGGCTTCCTAGTGGGCACAGTGGGATACTGGGGAGGCTCGGCAGAGGACTGGCTGTCAGGCAATAGTGACAGGTGGCCCTTGTGCTGTAGGAGGAACTCTATTTTGTTTCTTCTTCATTGCCATGAATTGGGAAGGCTGTTCCAATAACCTGGGCCTTTCCAGGTTGTCGTACCTGGTTCTGGGTTCTCTGGGCAGCCAGAGGCAGACATTCCCAGCAGACAGGAGGAGCTGGGAGGAAACAAGTAGGTCCTGCTTATGGGCCAGTCTTTTCTCACTGCTTCTTCTAGCCTCTGTACCCTAGCTGGGCCATGGCGACTCTGGTTTGGTCTCTGGTTCTGTTTTGGTTGTAAAATGCTCCCCCCAACCCTCAAAAGGCTGTGATTGAACACTTGGTCCCTAGTTAGTGGTGCTGTTTAGGGAGGTTTTAGAAGGTTTAGGAGGTGAAGTCTTGCTGAAGGAAGTGGGTGACTGTGAGTACTTTGAAGCCTGGGCTCTCTTACTGTCCCGTGTGTGCCTCCTGTTCTGCAGAGATGTGGGCTGGTGAGGAATCTCAGCTTTATTCTTCCACTGTTGTGGATCTACCTGTTGCCATGCCTTCCATGTATCCCTTCAGACCTCATGTTGCTTGGTTATGTATTTGGCTATCATGATGAGAAAAGTAACAGATACAGTCCTGGGGGCCCTGGGTTTTTCCAAAACCCATTGGCCAGAGTCAGGATTCCTATCATTTTTAGATGGTGACACTTTTTTTTTAGGTGGGGAGCAGGAGACACTGGTTTTCACTCCACATCTTTTGCCC